TAGAGGCTATAGAATATAGCTAGTAGGTTAAAGAAAGCTATAGTGTACTTAGGTATACTATAATAATAGGTAATAAGGCACTTATAATAATTTTTATCCTTAGGTAGGCTATTATAGGTAGTTATCTTAACTAGCTTAGTAACCTTTTTAATAAGTAACTTAAGGATCTTAAGCTTATTCTTACTATAGTTTTTATAGGTAATTAAGTTTAATAATATATAGTAAAGCTTAGTAATATAGGCTAAGTGTACTTTATTACCTTTAAATTATTCTTTAAGCTTTACTATTAGAGTATTAAAATTACCTACTTATTAGTAGAGGGTAAAGGTATAATACTTTTATAGTTTACCTTAAAGTATTACTTAAATTACTACTCTATAGTAGTCTTATGTTATACCTACCTAGATATAAAGGTTATAAAATAATAGTAATTTTAAGTTAATAGTCTTATACTAGCTGTTAATATATTTTATAGCCTAGTTATTAAAGTATATCTTTATAAGGTTACTTATTTACTTTAGTATTAGCCTTAATATTACTATTAATATTACTATAGTTAATAAAAGCTCCTATAGTAGTATAGTAGTTATTATATATAGGCTATTAATTTTAGTTATTACTTAGGGTTTTAGCGTTAATAAAGGCAGTAGTAAGGTAAAGGTTAGGTTATTATAAAAGGTTTAGTAGCTAGTTGTTAGTAATAAGTATACTTTAACTATTTTTACTCTATATATAATTATCTTATAGCCTTTAATATCTTTAATAAAGTTAAGGTCTTTAAGGTGTTCTCTAAAGTTATATAATAATCTCTTAATAATAGTAATTATTTTATTAGTCTAGTAGGTACCTTCCTCCTGTTAGAGGGTATTAAATATATATTAGGTAATTAATAGGTATTTACTGTAGTTAACCTACACTTTATAGTTAACAAGGAAGTTATATAGACCTATTAAGACCTTTAGGTTAATAGCCTTAAAGTTACTAATAAGCTAGTTAGTAAGGTCTTTTTATATATAGTAGAGTAATTTACTACTAAGGTAGTTATTATACTTAGATTTACTAAGGTAAAATATAATAATAGTGTTAAGTATAAGGGACTATTACTTCTTTATAAGGTTAGTTAGTAACCTTATAATATAATCCTTCTCTTATTAGTGCAAAAGAATATACTATATAAAAGTAAAAGGTATAGTAATAATATTATTTATTACTACTATCTTCTTTACTATATTAGGTAGTATATTATATTTACTATAAATCTCCTCTTCTTATTACCTTATAGGTAAAGGTGTAGTAACCTAGGAGCCTTACTTACTTATAAGCTTATTTTATTTACTTATCTTAGCTTAGGTCTTCTGCTTATAGGCGTAGTGTTATTTACTATTATCCTCTGTTAGCCTAATAACCTCTTAAATATAGGTGTTTCTTTTAGTAGACTAAAAGATATATATATTTATTAAAAGGATTACTACTAGTAGTATAAACAGCTAGAGAAAAATATACTCTTGTAGGTAAATAACTTAGGGAAAAATAATAGGCTATTATATTAGCTACTTATTAACGCTATTAGTTAGTAGAAGGAGGGAAATAATAGGCTATTATATTAGTAACTTATTAACGCTATTAGTTAGTAAAAGAAGTATATATATAAGAAAAAGAAGTTAGTAAGCTAAAGAGCTTATAATAAATAGGATATAGTAAATAATTACTAGTTAGCTATAGGTATATAAAGTAAGGGGTTTTTTATAGTCAAGAGTGCTTCTCTAAAGGTAATAAAGCTTATATAATAGACATAAATTAATAAGGTTTCTACTAGTTAAGAGGACTAGTTATAGATCTATTAATTAACCTATTATAATAGGTAATTAGTATAATATTATAGTAAGGGTATTTATAGAGGCGTTTTTTAGTCCTTGCTTACTCTAGGTGTATAAATAATTAACTAGTGATAATTACCTCTTCTTGTAGTCCTTACTAATCTATAGTTTAGACAGTAAAGTTAACCTATATAGTTAATAGTAAAGTTAACTACTAATTAGTGTTAGTAACACTAAGGGATAGGTTAATATAGTTAACTGTATATATTAGTAGTAATTAATAAATAATAGGGGTAACTATAGTTCTTTATTATATATAAAGAAAAGAAGGATAATTATTATAGGTTAGTTAGTTAAATAACTAACTTATTGCCTATAAATCCTTAAAGAATCTATAGCTAAATATCTAAGGATTTACTAGTAATAAGTTATTAGGGTTAACCTAATAACTCTGATATTTATCTGTAATAGTTAATATTGTAATATAAATAACTATTGTATTTTTAATATTAGACTATAACTTTAATAGTATATTTATAACTTTATAGCTTAAGTGCTTAGCTATAGCTCTTATTACCTTTTATAAAAAATAATAGAAAATAATTTATATAAGCTTTATATTAGTAAGCTTTATATCTTTATAGGCCTTAGCTTTATATTATAGTATTTAAATAGTTAAAATAAAAGTAGTTATTTTACTAGGATTACTATCTATAATATAAGGACTATTTATAAGGTTTTATAACTTCTTATTAGAATTTTAAAAGATCTTTAGGTTTACTAATCTAAAGACCTTTATTAACTTATCTTTTATAGTTATTTAAGAAGTCTAGTCTTAAGTAATTAACTATATTACCTTTAAATAGTTAAGAATAAAGTATATATAGACCTCTTAAATTCTCTTAAATAACTTCTTATATATAAGGGCTAAAAGGTTATTAAACTCCTCTAAGAAGTCTAAAATATTATCTTTTTTAAATTTAGGTGCTTTAGCTAAAAAAGAGGTTATCTAAATAATTATTAGTTACTTACTAAAGAGTTAAGCTATCTATAGATAGTCTTATATAGTTATAGGTTACTTTAGAAAGTCTATTAGGGTTATAAAAGAAGGTCTTTATAATAGTAGTATACTTATTATTTTTCTTATATTATTATCTTTTTTAAGAAAAGCTTATAGTTATATATTACTAAAGCTAGCCTTACTAAAAACATTTATATCTTTACCTTTAGATAATAAAGACCTTTTACTTTTATTTAGAGGGATTAAGGGGTTAACTATAGTAAATTAGGTCTATAAATTAACTACTATAAATAATTTAATAAGTATTATAGTCCTCTATAGACTTCTTAAAAAAATAAAAAAGTTAATATTTTAATAATAAAAGTATATACTAATATTTAAACTAGTAAATTAAGTAACTTTTAGCCTTTTATTTAGTATATACTATAGCTATAAGATATTATTTATATATAGCTACTATTATTATATTATATAACCTTCTATAGGCTTATTCTTAAAAATACTACTTCTTTTTATAAATATCTTAAGTAGAATATTTATTAGCTTTATTTAACTAGTGCCTTTACTTTACTTATTAGCTTAGTAAGACTACTATTAATTATCTATATTAGGTTATTTTAGATCTATAAATTATTTTATAAGTTAAATAATCTATTTTATATACTTATAATTAAAAAGGGAAATATAAAATAAAAAGGGAGGTTAAAAATAAAAAAAAATATATATATACTTAATAAATCTTAGTGTATTCCTACTACTTTAAGGGAGGCTTTTAAGGTTTATTTTATCCTTATAAATTAGTCTATAAAAGTATATAGCTACTATATCTTTTACTAGTTCTACTATTAATTAAGTAAAAGTATTACTAAATATTAATAATATATTATATTTATATTTTTATTAACTATAAATTTATTATAACTATATAAGAAAGCCTATCTATAGTCTAGTATAGAATACTTATACTAAAGAAGTAAATCTACCTCTAGGCACTATTAAGAAAAGGTAAAGTATTTAGGCTACTTAATAAAGAAAAAAAAGGAATAGTAAAACATAAGAAAACTACCTATACTATAACAATATCTAATAATAATAATATATATATTAATTAATAAGTCTTATAATTCTTAGACCTAATCTATAAAGATACTAAAATAAAAGTATAAATTAATAAAGTAACTATAAAAAGAATAAATTTTACTAAATAAATAAAAGTGTAGTAATAACTAGTAGTATATTTCTGTATAGAGTATTAAGGCTAACAATAACGACTATATATAAATAATTATGTCCCTTCTAATCTCTTCTTAGGTCTATAAATCCCTTTTTTAATAGGTAGGTGGCCTTCCTATTAATCTATCCCTTAAGTTAACTACTACGTAATTCCTAGGACTATACCACCTAACCCTACTACAATATAAAGCCTTTTTTTAGCTTAACTAATACTTTTAATAAATAGTTATATATTATTACCTTTATTTACTAAAGAAGATATAACTTTATTACCTTTATTACTTATACTTAGTTATAGTTATAGCTATACTTACTTAACTTTTTTTTACCTCTTTAGCTACTATAGTAGTACTATACTTTTAGTTAAGTCTTTAATAATAGGTATAGGAATAACTATACTATTATTATTAATTAATAAGCTCTCTTTTTACTACTAGTTATTTATTATAGTATTTAATAATAATAATAATAATAATAATAATAATAATAACTTTACTTATAACTTATAAAGTATAGCTAGTATTAATAGTATTATAAGGAGAGGTAATAAAGCTTATCCTATACAGTAAAAGGAAGGCGGTGAGGTGAGTAATTAGGCACAAGGATAGCGATGGTACATCTTGTGGGCCAAGGTTTCACTTAGCAGCGATTAGCTAATCAATAAGTAGCTCTTATTCGAGGTACGGGCTGTTATCCAACTTCGCCGCCGTTGCCGATCAGGGCCTTAGTAGCTAGTCGTGAAGGTGCGTCAAAGGAAACAAGTGCTTCCCAGGCGTACCTAGCTAGAGCCAGCTCGTCAATTGATTCAGGTGACCTGGGTGACCTGGGTGACCTGGAAGAAGGCGCTAGGTAGCCCACCACAAAAGCATGCTTGTTTGGCGGTTTCTCGTGCATGACAAGCCTGTTCAGGGAAGTCCCCCACCGTCCACGTCCTTAACTCCAGCGGCTGAGAAACCAGGCGAGTTCGCCAATCTCTTATTGCCGAGATCCTACGTGCCGTCTGGAGCTCATCCCAGTTCAAATGACCAAACGTCATTGGTTTGGCGTGCATGTCGCTGACGGGCACTTTATCTTTCCGGTTTCCATCCGGTGCAGCACTAGTAACTAGTCAAGGTAGCCCGTCTGCACGCCAAGTTGTCGTTGCCAAAGTGGAATAGACCCTCAACCTACAGAGCTCAATAAAAATAGCTTGGTGGCCTATAGAACAGTACACGTACAGCGCACACTCTGCACTGCGTGATTAGCGGGGACAAGAGATGGGTGGTGGCACGAGTGACCATAACTGAGGGAGGGGACGGAGACGGTTGATACAAGGGGAGACGCCAAGTCAAAATGCCAAGTCAAAAGGGGAAATGGAGAATTCGATGTGCCCGTCTCGCCAACTATAAAGTAGAAAACTCCACAAAAAGACATGGCCATCGGGGTCCTACACTCAGCATGGAAAAAGTGGCCGGGCCCTGCTGTTGCGGTCTGAAGGTCTGCTTGTCCTCGGCGGCGCGATTTCGGGACTTGGCTCCTCGTCTGGCGTAGGAGCAGGGTTCTTTTTCGAGGCTCGAGTGGTTTTAGGGTGGCATAAACATGGGCAGATGGTGGTACCCCCGGATGAGACCATGTCGGTCGATTGGTGGTCCCAGGTGGCGAGAGCGCGCATGCGATGGGACGCGAGACGGGACGCTTGTCCGTGCTCTTGCTGCTTAGCAGTGGTCCAGACGGAACGCTGTGTTTGGGTTTGGATGTGTTGACTTGGTTGAGTGCAACCGTACGTGGTGGATCGGGGGCAATGTGCAAGAATGTCTCTGAGTGCAGACGTGTTTGTTTGTGGTGTGTGTGTGTGTGTGTGTGTTTGAGGAGGGGGAGGGGGGAAAAGGTACGTACCCGAGACGCTCGTTCTGCCTTGAGAGCAGAAAGACAGGGGGGATGAGTCGGACAGGAAGGAGAAGAAATAGCTTGATGATCCTCATTCATCAATACGAGACTCTACTACTAAGAGAGAGAGAGAGAGAGAGAGAGAGAGAGAGAGAGAGAGAGAGAGAGAGACACACACACACACGCAAAAGCGGTAACCGTGAGATCATAAGAAACGCCAAGAGGAACCTTTCTTCCATGTCTTATTACATATGACTTAATTAACTGAGCCTCGACGTCCTTGCCAGAATCAATCTTCCTCCGGCAGGTCATTTGGATATTGTGCGTTGGTTCGTTATATTCTGACTCCACGCTCCTATATCCAGTAGCGAAAGCAAAGTGTACTTCTCGTTCCATAATCGCAGACTACCTACAGGTACCTACCTACCTACCTACCTAGGCATGTACACTAACGGGTGGCTGACTGACTACCTTCCTTTCCCAAGTCGCTCTCTTTCCTCAGCGTCGTCGTTCGTTTCCCCCTCTGGTGACCGGTTTGATTACCCCGCAAATCATTCGATTGGGTGACGTCGACAAGCGGGGGTCTGGCTGGCTCAAGGGCCGGTGGTTGACTGGCTGCATACGCTAAGGTAGCGCTAAGAAGAGCGCCAAGAGAGGATACGTACTGGGCCCCAAGGTGGCTTTGCTGGAAGTAACGCTTAGAGCATCTCGTCGGTGATTGGCTAGTAAGTCTGTGTGCTCCTGCTCAGGCCAAGGGACCCGGGAGGAGCTTGCTCAGGACGCTGCCGTAGCCTCCGCGCCAACCACCTTGGGCTGGATGGAGAAGGCCCGGGGGAGGGTCTTGCCTCCTCGCGTGCCATTTCCTTCCCACCTTCTCCTCCACAGATTTCCCTATTGTTAGTGTAAGATGCGAGTGCAGGTGCCGGTACCAAGAACAGCAGGTACGTAAAGTAACAGAATGAAGGAGCAGGAAGGAACAGACGGACAGACAGGCAGGCAGGGCCAAGGGTATGGGAGGAAGCGGCAGTCGCGAGCTGCGTCGCCTTCCACGTCTTTAACAAACGCACACCTCCATCCATCATCTATCCCTGCATTGACATCAAACCTTCTCCATCGTCTGGACTGCTCTTCCTCTCCACAGGGACGAGACTACGAATACAATACATCAGCAATCCACCAGTTCGACACACATCACAGCGATAGTGGACGTGCTCTGCCACTCCATCAACCAAGCCCGTCAATCACTTTGTCATTCAGTCGTTTTCCTGCTTAGCCCTAGGCCCAATATTCCGGCCTGAGCTAATCTTACCATCTGCGTGCGCATCTGCGTTTGATGGTGGCTGTTCCGCTTTTCCTGCAGACGCGTCACGCAAGCCAAACCACCGCCAGAGACATCGGCGGCGCTCTCAAACACACGCCGAACCGCCAACCGACAGACACCGCATTTGCCTCTTCTCCACACGCACCCGCCATCCCACCATCAGTTGCCTGCCTATCCGAGCAACAACCTGGAGCGCCCGACTCCGAGCGTCCCTCGAGTGTCCAAGCACACCATCTCAACCAAACCACCAACGCAGAACACTTCCCTGCCTGCCCCTAGCCCTGCCAATCTCTGCTCTCGACCCCCTAAGCAAGCTCGACGTCACTCAACTTAGAGCTCCAACCCGCGCCCATCTTGCCTAGGTACACGTATTTTGCTTTGGAAGACCGCCGTTCAAAGGCACGCTTCGTCCGTCGATCCCCTGGCACAAACGAACACAAAGACTATCAAGTTCCTTCTTCGGACTCCCACCAAGCCAGCAAACCCCTTGATCGACGCTTTTCTACGGCGCACTAAAGAGGTACGCTCGTCCCATCCCTAGCCCTCCTTGTGAGCAGCCCTTCGTAAACCACCCTTGGGGCCACCCTAAATCGGTCCATCGGCCACTTTTGATATATAATCGCCGTGTTCCACACTCGCGCGTCCATCGAACGATACCCCGTTCGATCCCTCTTTCGATTCTTTCTCGACCTCGCCCCACACCAACACACTCCGAAACACCAACTCGTGCTACCTACACTTGGTATCTTCAACAACAACGACACCCTGATAACAGCCGCATCTCAACTGACTACATATACTGCACCAACCTCGCTCCTTTTAACTCTGCCCAACATGTCGACCGATAACTCAAACCCTAACACCCAGAACAACCAGAACGAAATGCATCGCCAGAGACGTGGTTCCGTTACCCAACAGGCTATTGCTGGCCTTTTTAGGAGCAACTCTACTTCCAACGGAGCTGCCTTCCCCGGCACCGCCGACGCACAGAGACGGAGACTTTCCGTATCCACCGGCCTCGGCCTCGCTGGCACTTCTCCTACCCCCGGCGGTCCCTTCAACTCCCTGAGGCGAGGAAGCCTGTCGACGAACTCCAACGACTCTATCGATGAGAATGCCATCGACGAAGAGGAGATGCCCTCCAACGCCCGTACCGCGCCCGCCACCCCCTTTACTCGCAGAATGAGCTTTGGAGCTCAGGCAATGCGCACCATGCGCACTGGCGGTGGAAGCCCTGGGTCAAACGGTAATAATCCACCTGTTTCTGCCACCCCCTTACCCAGTACACCTGCCTCCTCCGATAGACGCAGCAGTACACCTGTGAATGCTACGCCATCCATCCACTCCTCCGTCGCCGCGACTACGTCGTCGATTCGGTGTCGCTCTGGTAGCACAGCACAGGCAAGCACCGCACACAAGCAAAAGTCCTTTTCTGACATGTTTTCGCGCCCAGACCAAGGTTTCAACTGGTCCGAGCAGCTTAGATCTCGCGCCGAAAGCTCTGTTCAGGGCACGCGACCTTCTTTCTCGTTCGGTTCTGGTCTTTCATCCTCGCCTACACGCGGCATGGGCAACGCCGGCTCCCACGACCGCCAGAAGTCTGTCTCCGAGATGCCTGCTCCTCCCGCCCAAGCTGCCGCCATGAAGCCCAAGGCCCCCGAACGCCCGAAGCCTGATGCTTTCCAGGAGCGCATCCTGAAGGGCGACTTCTACATGGACTGAGAAGTCGACACGTTAGCAAGGCTACTGCGATTTAATGTCGACCGTTTATGCCATTGCAATCGGCATCGCACTAGATGGCGGCACACCACTCGAGCATGAATTTCAACAGAAAACGAGAGTAAGGATCACCAAGCGTTTCACCAGTATCAAGCGTTCCGCATTCTAGTCTGTTCATCGATTTTTCTTTCTTTTCGCCGGTGGGATACTTTCTGTGTCGACTCGACCCCACGTTACGTTCGGTTGGGTTGATAAGGCGGTTGCGGCTTCGTTTTGGGTGGTGGAAAGTTCCACTCCACATGCACACGTGAGACCTCTGTCTCACATTTATCACGGAAGCGGAATGGGGTTGCAATTTCACAAGGAGTTCACACAAATGGCATGGGAGAAGACAATCGCAAATTGCAAGACTTGGGTTCAAAAACGAACCCGGTCCGGAAAAGACGGTCTCATTCATCGTTTGCGGCCCATCACTACGAAATTGATGGTGCCGACACACTTGAGATGATCATGGCTGGCGTACGGCAGGGAAGTTTTACTGTATCGTTGCATCGCTAGCCGTCAATCAGCAGCGAAAGCATAGGTTTGGAGGATGGAGGTCATGGCGTCGACAATTGAACAGGCTGTGAAGTGGGCACATGGTCCAGGGCGAGACAGAGTGAGAGAGGGTGTGTGTTTTTATGATTGCAGGCATATCAGAACCAGAGGTGGACGAACAGCTGGCGACGAATGTTGAGCTTATGAGCTTAGCTGCCAAGAGAAACGCGCTCGTGCCTGAATCGAAAAGTTTCATGGCCCCGACCAGCATCTTTTGTTTATTGACAAAATGCCAACGTGAAGTGAATGGTCGCGATATGATGATGAAAGATGCATGTGAGGCGATGCAAAGCAATGGCAGGCGCGCCGACTCGCCGAGTTAGGTAGTCTCGGCACCTCGGGCGCGCCCCGCAAGCCTCTTTCAGCGTGGGATTGAACTAGGCCTCCATTCCGGGAGCTCGGTATTCTACTCCCATTCGTTGCTGCAGGGATCGAGGTCTCTCGCTAGCCCCTTGGATGGGGGGGAGGAGGCGGCAGCAGCAGCAGCTATCATTCCTGAGTCCCGACGGGTCCTGCTATCACCGCCTCGCGCACATGAATGATATCCAAGTCTGGATGAGGTATCGTGACCGTCCCATCTCAAGGGGCGAAGGGAGGAGGGAGGGGGAACGCAAGTGGTATTAGCAAGACGGATGTTATCAACTGCTCTCCGTTCCCTTCCCCTTTCCCTTTCTCCCCCCTCCTCCCCTCTTCTCCATTGCCCTTCCATTGCCCTCCCTCCCACGCACCCACCCAGCTTTTCCATCCCAGGTTCAATGAGTCGATACCCTAACAAAGACAAGCATAGGGTTTCTTCCGACGTATCTTGCCGCGTTATAAGAATAAAAATAAAATTGCCTTTTGCGGGGACAAGCTTTCCAACATGGTACATGCTCTGTGCACCGGTACACTACAGTGAGAGGAGAGGGGGAAGGGGGGGTTAGTGGTTTGAGATGTGAGGCATGTATAGAGAGAGAGAGAGAGAGAGAGAGAGAGAGTTGCGACTCGGTCGCCTTTCTTTTACCCCTCTTCATCTCTCTTTCTCTCACTGTCCAGACCAGCCATCGTATCGTAGTTTTGACTCCTCTCTTCCCCACCACCACCTCCCCCCCTCCCCCCCCCTCGTGAACCCCCTCGTGACCCCAATCGTTTCCAAACAGACCCTTAATAGGTAGATGTCAGAAAAGTAATCTTTATTGGGGATGTTGTTTGCCTACTCCTCTTGTCTTCTGCTTCCTTTGTATCTGTCGCCTCCCCGCGCGCGCTTTTGCTTTCTTTTCGGTTTCGCAGACCGACTGGCACCATCCTTTGTCCCCCCCCCCCCTCCCTTGGGTAAATGGATCAGGTTACGGATCGAGGCATGTCGTGATAGGAGGAGAATGGGAAGGGAGGTATCGGGGTTATCGATTGTAAATGCCTTTTCTCTCTCTCTCTATGATACCTATCGTGTTTTCTGGCGAGTAGATGGAGGTGAGAGAGATGTCTCGGGGTAGAGATGGATTGAAAAGCCAGCCGCGACATCCGGCGACTCTAAGGCTCTTCG